CCTGCTGAGGTAAAGCTAAGTCTGCAAGATACTGACCAGTCTTTAATTACTGATGTTACTGAGGTTTTCAGGAGCAGAGTGCACCAGATGTCAGGTAGCTGAAGTCAAACCAATGTATTCATCCAGTTGCCAGGTTGGCAAGACAAGATCATGGTCAGGGATGCAATGAATCAAAGCCAGGAGGTCAAAGACAGATCTATTTGTTATGCAAGTGGAGGACAGTGGGCCTCAGCACACAAAGAAAACTAGAAGCATCCCTCAGTTAGGAAGGCCACTGGATGTATAGCAACTGTGTGCTAGGGACAGGAAGGCTAGGTACAGACAGTCAAAAAGCCCAAGGCTGAATCGATTCAGACTGTGTAGGTTAGTCTAAACTGCACAGATTAAATTGAAACAGAAGTGAACAGACACTTACCTTTTATTCAGGCAATGCAGCCACATGCCTGCAGTGGCTCAGGCCCAAAGCTAGGGGGCCCTAGAGCTTGGCTTTCTAGTTGTGTGTTCACTTCCTCTTCCTGCTGCCCTGCGTTCTTTGGGATTTGCAGTCCGGAATTACAGCAGCAGGACTCTGCAGGGTTGCTCATCACTTCCTCTTCCTGCTTCTAGGTGCCTCTGGGCTTTGTAGTGCACAGTTGCAGCCAGCAGTAAATTTAGTCAGGAAAGGAGTGTTTAATATCCCTCCCTGGCCCCAGGCCCCGGCCGGGGTTTGCCTAGGGGGAGGGGCAACCCTCCCTCCCCACCCCCTTGTAGACTGGGCTGCATCCCCAGCTGGGCTTCCCGCCCCTTGTCAACCAGCCCTCACTGTTCCAGCTAGGGAGCAAGGGGTGGGGTCAGCCCTGCTCTCTGGAGCAGATAGCACAGTCTAGGCCAGGGCTGCAAAGCATGCTGGGATGCTGGGTGACTGTGATTTAACTTGAACCAGAAAGGGGTCTGGGACAGAAGTTTCATAAACTAGTTTGCCCCATATCAGTTAAGTCTGATACTACATTCAACCAGGTTTATCTTAAACCAGTTTCAGGCATTTTGAAACTGGTTTATGTGCACTGAGCTTGTGTTCTGTTACAGCTTTAAACCAGTTTCTGATGACTTAAACCAGTTTATGTGTAACTTCTGTCCCTAGCCCAAAAGAGAAAACAAGGATGGGAGCATGGGTCAATGAAAGCTCCAAGCAGATGACACTGAGCAGAGCACACAGCCAGTGCTCATTATTCCTTGACTGAGTCCAAGGAGCCTGTGGATGCCGCCTTGTGAAACTCTGTTTGGAGACGTTCATAAATGAGGGAGAGGTCAGAGACTAGAACAAGGCTGGATGGTCCAAGACAGTAATACCTGACAACACTGCTTTTAGGACAAGGCCCTAGAGCAGTGGCTCTCAACCTTTTCAGATTTGAGGCACCCCTTTGTAGACTCAAGCCACCCTTCGGAAACTGCCAGATCTTAGTTTTCACTCTTTTTGACTAGAGAAAAATAACAGAGCAACTCTTTTATTGCAAATAATTCAGAAAAGACTACCACAGGTCAGAATGTTTTTAACCGTATGGGTTTCTATTAAAAAACTCTAGCCTTATCTTGTGAATCATGTTTGCACACCTAACAGTGCCAGCACTATGTGGCACCCTGTGACACCTTTGAAATCTCAGGGCACTCCAGAGTGCCACAGCACCCTAGTTGAGAATCACTGGTGCTGCCAGATAATTCGAAAGGTGCCCCAAGGTGTAAAAAGATAAGTGGGTAAGTGCAGGCTCAGGCTTATGACTGCCTTGCCATTTCGCCACCCCCACTACATGGCCTCTCTGCAAGGAGGTAAGCTCTATAATATATAAATTAGTTTTTGAAATTGGTTACCACTCAGTTCACAAAAGTTATGGAAGTGTGCCTTGAGTCTATTGAAGGATGCCTTGAGTCCAGAAAGGTTGAGAATCACTTCCCTAGAGGCAATGGGAGGGTTTTATAGTCCTCCCATCAAGGACTGGTGGCTTCCATTTGTTCCCCCAGGTCACATGGTCTCCCATTGGACACGTCATGATAGGGCCTAAGCTGAGCTGGGGCTGGTGTCTGGTCTGCCACCAGGTGGTGCTGAAGTCTATGCTTCAGCCTGTGGACACAGAAGATCCATGTTTAAAAATCCCAGGGGTTATGACACAGCATTTATGTCATCTTCTCATGAAGGTTATCCTCTTCTGTCCACCAGACAATGCACTGCCACTACTTTGGTGATGAGAGGCAGTTTTTTTCTTAAAAGTAGTCAAAATCTACAGCGAGAAAGGGTTGAAAAATTTCTGGATGAATGTTTTTTTAAATCAGGAAATGTGCATTTGTCTAAATCAAAATGTGGTGCAGGAATGTGTTTATTTCAACTATTTTTATTGTAAGAAAATTAAACTGAACTATATTAATGAGGTCCTGAAGGAACAGAAATTTCTTTTTTTTTAATATGCCTTTTTGATTAAGAACTTGTATGTTATCACAGCATAGCATAACAGCAAATCTCACCCTGTTTTCATCAGTTAGGACACCAGTCACTTGGTAGTATGCTATTTTGTATTATATCTCACAAGTAATTATTAAGCTCTTATTTTAAACTATTATAAAATAAAATATTAAGAAAAAAAATGCCCCCAAACCAGTTTTTTTGGACTATTGGAAATCTATCTTGTGCTTTCCTTATTCACCCAGGCCTAGTAGTAATGATGTATTTCCTAAGTACTCTTCCTTCTACTTCTCAAGTTGTTCCTTGCTTTCTTAATCTGAGATTTCTCAATTGTAGCAAAATCAAAGGATACTAATATAAATTGTTATGATGCACGTCTTATGTCTACATGATTATGTAGCAAAACCACTCCAACTTTAATTCTGTTCCAATCAGGGTCAAAATTAGAGTAATTTACCTTACTTGTACCACCACAGGATCAGTTATAGCCTACCAGCTGATGTGCTTTCCTGAGCAACATTGGCTCTCCTTCCCTTTTAAAGCAACTAAAATATACATTTGACTTCAGACTAATACAACTAACCACTTTTCTGCTCGTAGACAGCACCACACTCAGCCAAATGATGAAATAGGTTATTACTTCCAAAAGCTCATGCCTCTCTTAACTAGTTAGGCCAGGGTGGGACCTTAGGGTGCTTGCAGACATAACCCTCCCCACCATTTTAAAGTAAAATGGTGCTTTACTTTAAATTCAGTAAATTCCCACACCAAGCCCCATACATGCCCAGAAGAGGCAGCATGTTACTTCTCACCCAACGTCTGTAAAGATCAAGCTGTATAGTGGGGCTCTTTTAGCGCTTTTATCTAATAGCTGATTGAATCATCTTAAGCTAAAAGCCCCCAAAAGCCCCACTGAAGCACCTTATCTTTACAGATGCTGCAGAGCTGGGTTGAAGTATTGTACTACTTTTTCCATTAAAGCATGTTTTTTTGGTTGTTTTTTTTTAATGTCTGCAAGCAGCCTTAGAGACTACCTTCTGCCATAGCCAGAGTAACACCATTAGTGTGAGAAATGATTGTTCCCTCCTGTACTAGTACGTGAAAGACCTTTTTAGCTCCCTTTTTCATTCAGTGTACTTGTTACCCAATATACAGTTTTCCTCTTGATATTTACCCTATTTGTGTATGTATTGTCCTCATATTCATGAACATCCAGGGTTTTCAGAGGCAGATTTTTTCTCCTGAGTATTTGACTGCTTTCACAATAATTTTTTATCATGTTATCATCTCCCCTCATCCTTTTGTCCATACCTGCTTTATTCTGCCTAGGGGACTTGGATTTCTGCTCTACTGCTGTTTTATCCTTCAGCTTCTTCCGCTGTATACACTGTCACCTTGTAACTACTTTTATGTCCCATAGATTGTACTCCCTGACAATGAATAATCTATTTTTCATCTCAGGACTTCACTTTTGTCTTCATTTCATTGGGTTTTTCTATGCTAATTTTAGCTGTCACCTTGCTGATGAAGGTTCCTGTTTAACCAGCATTTATCCTACGCTGCAGCAGATAGTTGATCTGTTCAGCAGCACACACAGTGTTGCCACAAATATGATTTATCAGTCAGAGATAAATAGTCGTCTTGCTCTTCCTTTTATTGTTTGAGAGTCTCTGCTTGTGTTCTGGAGATCCTGGACCTGATCCGGAGTTTATTTACAGGATTTTCCTTCTTTTTAAGGAAATAGAATTACATCAGTGTAGTATTGCTATAAACAAGAGCAGAACTGGACCATTTATTACATAAAAGAGTTGTCCTTGGAAGTGCCAGAGAATATATAAATTAGACTTTACTAAGGCTAGACATTACACATAAACTGGTTTAAACCTGTAACCAAACAGATGTTCAGTACACATAAACCAGTTTGAAAATGGCTGAAACCAGTTTGAGGTAAACCTGCTTCAATGTAGTATCAGACTTAACTGATCTGAGTCGAACTGGTTTATACAATGTCTGTCCCAGACCCCTTCCTGGTTTAAGTTAAATCAGAATCTCCCAGAATCCCAGATGCTTTGTAGCCCTGGGTAGGACTCTGCTCTCTGCT